AAATATCTGTGTACTAAAAATGTGAAAATAGTTTCCTGGTTTGTGCTTTCATTCTCCCAATATAGGTTTTGGATGACAAGCTTGTATTTGCAAAAGTACACACCCTGTGGGAGGTGCTCTGTACATACGCTGAGATACTGCACATAAAATTGCCTCTGAAGCCAAATAATCTGAAAACTCGATCCTCAGCCTTTGATAATTTCAGCTGTTTTATGAAAGTCCTCCAAGTGGATGAAAGTATCATCAAGCCGGAGCAAGAGTTTTTCATTGCCCTATTTGAGAAGAGCTACTTGAATGACTTTTATATTGAGGATAGAGATGCATTCTTCAATCCAGCCACCAGAAGCCACATTGTAAGTCTAAACAGAGTTTAGCTGCTGTCTTGGGGGTGATTTAGAACCTGCTGTTGAATTATCACTATTTTGGTTTGTTTGGTTTGGTTTGGTTTTTAAAAGCTGCCCATAAAAAGGAAAAAAGGGAAAGAAAAGAAATATGACTACAGATTCCTGTTAGGATAGTAAACAGTGGCTGGTTAGTTACCCTGTATAAACCACACACTCTCTTAGAATCTTTTTAGGTTTACTTCATCCTTTCTCAGGTGAAGTATCAAATAAGGGACAGTGTTAAAAAAAAATTCGGGATTAACAGGCTTGTGAGCTCCGGGATCTGCAAGGTAGCTTTCCCTCCCCATGGTGTAAGTCAAATGGCAGAAATGAAATAAAGCACCTCATGTATCCTCTGATGTTAACAGGAAAAGGCTAATCTTCTTGACCTTGTTTCTTCCTGGGTAAAATTAAGATAATGTGTCAGGAGGCGACAAGCTCATTTAGGGCAGGAACTATGTTGTCGTGTTCACTGCTGAATCCCAGGAACCGGGAAGGCTGAGTTTAACGAGTGAGTGAATGAATGAACTGTAGTTCCCCCAGAGTTACCATGTGGGGCAGTGCGGATTAGCAGCTAAGAGCATAGACTCGAGAGGGGAGGGTACAGCTCAAGTAATGGGGTGCATGCTTAGCACGCGTAAGTTCCTGTGTTCAGCCCCCAACACCTCCTCTAAAATAGACAAATAACCCTAATTACGTCCCCACGCCCCACCAGAATTACCTTATTATCTCCCCAACCACCAAAAAAAAAAAAAAAAAAGAGAGAGAAATGGCCAAGAGCGTAGACTCAGGCTGGAACGCTTGTGCTGGTTTCTCGCTGTTGACCTTGTAAAAGTCATTTAGCCTCTGTGTTTATCAAGCTCCTCATCAATAAAGTGGGGATAATAATAGTACCCACCTCATAGAGTTGCTATGGGGATTAATGAATCTGTCAATGTTAGAACTGCCCTGGTTAATAATAAGTACTATGCATCTGTCAGATCTTTTCATAATTACTGACAGATGTTATTATCAATCAAAGAAGTATTAGTTATTTGTAAGGGAAATGCATGTTAGACCATTTCATTTATCATTTTCTGTAATTCAGGCCTTTTCCCTCTGAAATACCATTTTCTGTCTGTGCACTAGAAAGCCAAATGGCTTTCCAAATTTCATCTGTCTGGGTTCTTGTCATGATGGCAATACTTCAGAATGTTGACATTTTTTAGGGACTCCGTCTGAGATGACAGCAACCCCTCAAATTCAGGAGCACTTCTCTAACTGGTAACATCTTGCATGAAATGAAGATTTTAAAATGTAACTGCTTCAGATGCTTAATGATGCCATAAATGCAAGGATGTTATATCTAAGCTCTTTAAATAGATCCTGTCATTGAAATAAAGGAAATACTATATTATAGCGCTCTATGACTTTGTTATCTTTTCTATCCATTTATCTGACTCTCTAAGACCAAAGAAAGCAAAGACTGAGATTGATCATTACTACTGTGTGGTACACGTATTTGTGGATGAAGACAATACTGAAATGCACTGTTTAAGATATTAAAATGGACACTAAACAGCTGCTTGATGCACATGCATGAACAGAACAGGGAGCTGGGTGCAGGGAGAAGACACTGAGCTTCCTGGATAAGAGACCCAGCATAGCAGTCCAGCCCAGGAGTCCACATGTTTTATA